TTTGAATGTGTGGTGCATCCAAAGGGTATTATTATTACACCGAAGAACACTAAAATCTATGTTTGACAAATCCACCAATGATTCAAGGACTTATTCTTTTGTTATGTCTCTCTCTTCAAAGTTCATCATTCAGTGAAATTGGGATGTGGAATCTGCTCTTCTGAACCTTAAAGCTTTTGCTTCAAGTCACAGATCACAGTCACATAACATTTTCCATCAAACCATTCAATTTTGCCTCAAAATCATGTTGAGAAGGCACTCCCTTATGAGTTCAACACCAAAACAAGTGTCCCTCTTTTTTGTTAGCCATTTCCATTCCACCCTTTTCACTCCATCACCAAAACAAGTGTTCCAAACCCATCATCGTTGGTGGGGTTACCCCAAAAGCTTCAAACCCAGTTTCAACCCCTCCTCGCCCTTTTGCAGACACAAAGCCAGCACCTTGCACAGTGGTTCCTCTGTAGAACAAATTGAACATGTTGAAGTTGCTGACCGCGATGTCTGGATGAAAATGAAGGATGAAGCAAGATTTGATGTCTCTGTGGAACCCATCTTGTCAGGTTACTACAACACTTCCATTCTCTCGCACAAATCATTAGAAACGGCGTTGGCCAATCACCTTGCCGTCAAACTCAGCAATGCATCTCTTCCTTGCAGCACCCTTTCTGATCTTTTTGTCACGGTTTTGGAAACTGATGAAGCCATCATGGCTGCTGTGAAGAGTGATCTGATTGCAGTTAAGGAGAGAGACCCGGCATGCCTGAACCTCGTGCACTGCTTCTTGAATTTCAAAGGCTTTCTGGCATGTCAAGCTCACAGGGTGGCTCACAAACTGTGGCTGCAGAGAAGGAAGGTTCTTGCTGTCATGATTCAGAACCGGGTTTCTGAGGTTTTTGCGGTGGATATTCATCCGGGGGCAAAGATTGGAAGTGGGATTTTGCTGGATCATGCAACAGGGATTGTGGTGGGAGAGACGGCTGTGATAGGGAACAATGTGTCAATTCTGCATAGTGTGACATTGGGAGGGACTGGTAAGGTTTGTGGAGACAGGCACCCAAAAATTGGCGATGGGGTTCTGATAGGTGCTGGAACTTGTATTTTGGGGAATATTAAGGTTGGTGAAGGGGCAAAGATTGGTGCCGGTTCAGTTGTCATTAAGGATGTTCCTCCTAGGACTACAGTTGTTGGTAACCCTGCTAAGCTGGTAGGAGGAAAGAACAACCCTGTTAAGTTGGATAAGATTCCCAGCTTAACCATGGACCATACTTCACATATTTCTGACTTCTATGATTATTGTGTTTAGACCTTGAAGTGTAATGTAGTGTATTCCTCAAGCATGCTTTGGAATTTTGAGTTTAGAAATGATTATGATTGATTGGGGTGGCTCTTGTTTGTTAAGAGAGAATTCATGTTCTCCTA